CAGAAGACAGACTACAGACCTCACTCAAGGAGAAAGACCTCGGGGTGAGTATAGTGCCGAGTATATTGCCAGAGGCTCGCATCAACCACTGCTCGTCTGGCAAATCTAAGAGTAGCTTAGTAGCCTTCGGAAATCTCGACAAGTCATTCCTGGCTAGGACATATTATGTCAGGACCATCTTGAAGTACGTAGCATCTGGATGGAACCCACACATGATAATGTCAAGAGACTAGTCCCAGAGCTAAGGAGAGACTTACGGCGCTAAATCTGACATTAGAAAAAAACTCATGATAATCACTTACAAAATACTCGAGAGGAACTGATAGGGTGGACATGAACAGACTGCTAGGGAGGCGGGAAACCGGTACTGGAGTACAGTTAGAAGTTAAAGACACAGATGAACCACAAGGATGTCAGAAATTGTATTTTCATCCTCTCGGTGGTCAGGAAGTGGAATGACCTGATTGAAGTAGTGAAGCCTGGTCTCTTACATAATTTTAATAAGTATGACAGGTCCGCCTAAGCAAGAAGTAAACCCTGCAGGCGGCGAGTGGAGAACCAGGACCAGCAGCCAAGACTCGACCCCTTCAAGCATAAACAGGTGAGTACACACACAAAAAAGACGTGTCTATCGACAAGTGCCTTTGGTAATTAGTAGCTAAACGCGCGCGCGCGCACAGCGAAGAGTTGGGGCCAGAAGCTGTGATTCGACCAACCACAAATAGGCGAGTACACATACGACGTACCTTCATGCGATTCATTTCAGATGAAATTAGCGAATATCTAAGAGTAACTGTTTATTTTTGGTTATAAGAGCGATGCCAAACACTACCCAACATCTTTTACGATTACTCTCAAGTTGGCTTTTTAGTTTAAAGTCTATCCACTGCACGAGGGTCATTAAGGGAACACCTCACTTGTACGCCAACACTAAGAATACACAAGTCTCTAATACAGAAATTAAATAAATTTCTCATTGTAAATAAACAGATATATAACAGCAGCCTCTCTCCGTGTATCAGGGCTGCCAGACGTATAAAAGCTGCAAGGCTTTATATAAAAGCCCTGCCAAACGTACAACCAAAAATCAACAATGGTTATAAATGACCATAATTTTTAAAGGGGTGGACCGGTAAGCCAGCGGAAGGCCTCGGTCAGATGACCAAAAGTTCCAAAGGCGGGTCATCATCTGACTAAGACCCGCGTCAGGAAACATTTGTCCTGTTTCCTGACGAACCTAACCTAACCTAACCTAACCTACAACCAAACATTTCTGCACTTCTTGCTGCACACTTCTTGTAGCGCACTTACAGGCACTTCTTGGAGCGCACTTACAGGCACTTCCTGTAGCGCACTTACAGGCACTTCCTGTAGCGCACTTACAGGCACTTCCTGTAGCGCACTTACAGGCACTTCTTGGAGCGCACTTACAGGCACTTCCTGTAGCGCACTTACAGGCACTTCTTGGAGCGCACTTACAGGCACTTCCTGTAGCGCACTTACAGGCACTTCCTGTAGCGCACTTACAGGCACTTCTTGGAGCGCATTTACAGGCACTTCCTGTAGCGCACTTACAGGCACTTCTTGTAGCGCACTTACAGGCACTTGTAGCGCACTTACAGGCACTTCCTGTAGCGCACTTACAGGCACTTGTAGCGCACTTACAGGCACTTCCTGTAGCGCACTTACAGGCACTTCCTGTAGCGCACTTACAGGCACTTCCTGTAGCGCACTTACAGGCACTTCTTGGAGCGCACTTACAGGCACTTCCTGTAGCGCACTTACAGGCACTTCCTGTAGCGCACTTACAGGCACTTGTAGCGCACTTACAGGCACTTCCTGTAGCGCACTTACAGGCACTTCTTGGAGCGCACTTACAGGCACTTCCCGTAGCGCACTTACAGGCACTTCCCCTAGAGCACTTGCAGGCACTTCCCCTAGAGCACTTGCAGGCACTTCCCCTAGCGCACTTACAAGCACTTCCCCTAGCGCACTTACAGGCACTTCCCCTAGCGCGCTTACAAGCACTTCCCCTAGCGCACTTACAGGCACTTCCCCTAGCGCACTTACAGGCACTTCCCCTAGCGCACTTACAGGCACTTCCCCTAGCGCACCTGCAGGCACTTCCCCTAGCGCACTTGCAGGCACTTCCCCTAGCGCACTTACAGGCAGTTCCCCTAGCGCACTTACAGGCACTTCCCCTAGCGCGCTTACAAGCACTTCCCCTAGTGCACTTACAGGCACTTCCCCTAGCGCGCTTACAAGCACTTCCCCTAGTGCACTTACAGGCACTTCCCCTAGTGCACTTACAGGCACTTCCCCTAGTGCACTTACAGGCACTTCCCCTAGCGCGCTTACAAGCACTTCCCCTAGTGCACTTACAAGCACTTCCCCTAGTGCACTTACAGGCACTTCCCCTAGCGCGCTTACAAGCACTTCCCCTAGTGCACTTACAGGCACTTCCCCTAGTGCACTTACAGGCACTTCCCCTAGTGCACTTACAGGCACTTCCCCTAGTGCACTTACAAGCACTTCCCCTAGTGCACTTACAGGCACTTCCCCTAGTGCACTTACAGGCACTTCCCCTAGCGCACTTACAGGCACTTCCCCTAGCACACTTACAGGCACTTCCTGGAGACGGGAGTAGGGGTACTTCTAACAGTAATGTAACTGGAGGTGGTCCAGCAGGCTTTTTGCACACTGGTAACCTGCCTACGGCCAGACTTAAACCAGGTGACCGCTTATCAACCACGCTGTTGCTGCCTGCCTCGTCACTCAGGACGTTAATAGGTAGAACAGGTCCAGTAGATAAATTCGGCATTCGTCAGTTATAACAAGATCATAAAAATAATAATAATTGACAGGTGTACACTTGTAGGCCGGACACATTTACTGTTTTACATCCTCATATATGGCTAAGGGCCTGAACCCCTATGAAGGTTAAGGGGCTGAACTTTATCAAGGCTAAGGGGTCTGTCTGATCACCCTGAATCAAGGCTAAAGGGCTAAATACCTTAAATTTACCTCTTCACTTCAACTGCCTGTTGTTTCATTGTCACCTCTCTGTTCGACTGAAGAAGCCTGCTTTGCAGGCGATACGTTTCAGAAATGAAGATACTAGGCCTTGACGAGCTGTTTTCAAGAGTTATAAACGAATGTATGAGGGAACTTAGTAAACCATTAACAATCACTACAAACGGGTATTGTACGAGATAAGTGGAAAACGGTAAATGTGATATCTGTTTACAAATCGGGAGATAGGTCGTTAGCTTCAAACTGTTGACTAATTAGCTTTACTTCAATTGCAGGAAAGCTGGTGGAATTAATAACTGCTGACGAGATTCCAAGTTATCTCGAAAAATATAATGTAATCAATGACTCTCGGCGATGTTTTACGAAGGGGTGTTCCTGCCTTACAAATTTACTATTTTTTTTTTACCATGGTATTTGAATCAGTAGACCAGGATAAAGAATACGATATTTTGTATATATAGTTCAGAAAGGTCTTTAATAGTTCCACACAGGAGGCTGCTAAGTAGCAGCACACGAAACATGTGGAGAGATTATCTCCTGAATCACGATATGGTTGACCAGTAAGTGAGTTTCCATAAATTACAAGAAATCAAGAGTGGGGAGCCTTTACCGGTGGTGTTCCATAGGGTTCAGTATTGGGCCCTTTGTTGATCACAATATACATGAACGACTTAGATGAAGGAATAAATTGCGATATAAGCAAGTTTGCCGATGACAGTGTCATCATCAGAACTACAAAATGACCTAAATAGGTTGATGTTGTGGTCGGAGAAGTGGCAGATACAGGTTAATGTTGACAAATGTAAGGCTCTTATTCCTGGGAAAAAGAAAATAACCATGGCACCTAGAAACTAAATGTAGATCAAGATCAAACTGAATACCAAAAAATTTTGATCTAGGAGTTCTGGTTAGCAGTAATCTAGAGGCAAGACAACTGTGCATAAGCGTTCGCAATAAAGCTTCTAGAATTCCTGGTTTCATATTAAGAAGTATAAAATAATTGAAGTCCTCAGGTTATACTTCAACTTTCGTATCCTTGGTAAGGTCTTATTTAAATAATGCTGCTCAGTTCTGGTCTCCATATTGCAAAATGGGCATAAATGCTCTGGATAAAATACAGAGAAACCGCTTCAAATTAAGATGTCTTTCATCCTATTGTGGGTATCGTTGTATTTCTTCTTTTATACAGACAAGGATGACGAAGAGGATTCCCTGTATCAGAAATCTTTCTTACTATAAACAGGATGAAGGCAGTGAACTTGCACTATTTAGAAAAACTTAGAAATAGAAGGGCTATGACTGATGTGTACAGATGAAAAAAAGGGAATAAATAGCATGATGAAAACAGCCAATGAAGAGTGGACACGTAGCAATGTTCAAGTTTGATAAATTTAGATTTAGAAAATGTTGGAAAACACCGATTTAGCAGCAGGGTTGTATACGAGTAGAACAAACTTCAAAGTATTCAAACTAGGTTGGATGGGTACAAGAATTTGTGAGGTAAACCTGCCTAGCATGGGCCAGTAGGCCTATCGCAGTATTCCTCCTTTCTTGTCTTCTTGTGTATACCCAGGTATGGCATCTCTCTCGTTCATAAACTTGTCAGTCTTGTGTACAGTTAATCATACGCTACTTAGCCTCGCCAATTAAAAAAAATCAGCATCATGAAGGATCCTGACACCTTACCTGTTCGTCATCATTATAACAGACAGCATCATGACGCAGCCTCGTGTCATGTGCGGAAAACAAAACCCGTAAGGGTGAAACTAGGCAAAAGATTTGGGAATAATTCTGCTAGGCGACCTTTAAAGAAATAAAAGAGATAGGAATATAATAGGGTGGATTATGATTACATTAAAACCAGATGGGATAAATAACATGATATATTCATATTTACTGCACAAGATTTTTAACATTGTTATGGATATATTTACGATTAACCTACAGAACGTGAGTGTGGGTTATTTGTGAAATGTTCCAGCCACAGTATTGTGACTAAATTCTACTTGTTATAGGGATTCAGTTAAGGTAAATTATGTACACTTGGGATTACCTGGTAAAGTGATATATTTCATTTTTTATAAAGAATTAAGTCAAAAGCTCACTCTCGTATGCCATGTGAATGTAGATACTCCTCACAAGACTTTTTATATTCTGGCAACTACCATATTCCATCCTACCACCACTACACCACAACCATCCTAATACACTGACATTAGCTACCACAACGACTTTTTTTTTTTGCCATAATACTCACCCAGCGATCACTCCAAGCTAGCTTCACCCACCAGCAGGGAGCTTTCGTGATGCTAACTTGGTGTTCCGTGCTGGTGGAGGCTGTAACCTGTTGAACCATGTGGCTGGGACCTTCAATTCGGTGCTCCGTGTGGCTGAGGCCTGTATACTGATTTTCCTGTTGCTGGAAACTATCACCTGGTGCTCCGTGCTGCTGTTCCAGGTGGAGCCTACAGCCTGGTGCTCCGTGATGTTGGAACCTGTAGCTTGGTGTTTACGTGTTGCTGGGACCTGTAACCTGCTGGTGAAGAAGGCTAGGTGAGTGGTGATCACGTCATGCAGGAAGCAAGTGTAAACTTTCACCATTACCAGCAACAGCACTCCTGGCGAGGCTACTCGCGGACCAGACTTTGGGAGGAAATAGTTTTATATCGTGTCTATTACGTGATTTTGGGACGGAGGATCGAGTCTTCACTACGTGTTTAGAGCACGCCACATGTTTTTAATTTATAAATACAAAGGAAAGACTTCATCGCTGATCAAAGCTTGGCAAATGCAATGTTTGTCTTCCCTTCACTACACCGTTAGTGACACGTTAGTTATTATAAAATCAAATTTGCTCTATAAACTGTATTTCAAGGGGAAATTAGGAGCAAAACAATATTTTATATGAAAAAAAAAATGTCCCAGCTAGTGAAAGTAGTCACTGAAGGCAAATTTGTTTTCTATCAGACAGATAATGTCATATGTTTACTTGATACAACATGAGATGATGACTCGTAGAGACAGTCCAGGTCGCTGGCTGGTATTGTCACACTACCAACACGAAAACAGTTCAATATTGTTCACTTGAAGATTCCCAAGTGCGAGACGTAACGGAGTTGTGGGTGAAAGGTGGGCCAATACAGGCGGAGCCCTGGTGGTGGGTGGGTTGGTGGCCAAGGTTAGTTAGTCTCTTGGTTGTGGGTGTGCCAAGGCAGGTAGTGTCCCGGTGGTGGGTGGGTGAGTTACGGCAGGTGGGGTCCTCGTGGTGGGATGGGTGAGTGTGTGGAAGCAGCACACCTCTCTCATTGCTACCTTACCCGACCAGTTACGAGCGAGCACTGAGAGCGAGGTGGCAGTGCTTTCCTTCCTCACCACCTTCCTCCCTCCATCCCCCCCCCCAAAAAAAAATAAATATGGACAGACCGGGACCTGAACAATACACAAATAACCCGCACATAGACTGATGCTTATGACGACGTTTCGGTCTAACTTGGAGCCCCTCCCTCACGTGCTGACCGCCACCGTACCTCCATACACTCCGCCCCAGCCCTGACTCGTGTAATTTTGTATTCATCAAGAATTGCCAAAAAAAAATACCACTAACTCGTTTCTTACAAACAATCTGGACACAGATGACATCCGGCAGTCATTAAAAGCCACATAGTTCACAAAGGTGCATAAAAAGCAACTGCAAAAATGTTATGTAGTAAAAGGACACAAGGGCAACTAATGTGGCATTTTATTGTGGCAACGTTTCGTTCTCCAGGAGCTTTAAGCCGCCTTGATGAAGCTCCTAGAGAGCGAAACGCTGCCACAATAAAATGTTAAGTGCAACTAATGTGTGTCCTTTTACCTAACATATTGTCGATAATTCTACCAACATTAATACAAATGAAAAAATGTATAAAAAAATAATGCTGACCTCCTATGTTATCAAAATATTCGAAAGGGTTTTTAAGAAGCAAGATTGCCAATCACCTGGACTCGAATTATTATTATTATAATCAAGGGGGAAGCGCTAAACCCAGAGGATTATACAGCGCCTGGGGGGGGGATGTGGAAGGCATTCAGGCTTAATTCGGGGAACTGGAGCACAAATCCAATTCCCTAAATCAAGAGCCCCTCACCAACATCAAGGAACCTTCCTTGAGGGGACCTGGACTCGAAACAGTTGCAAAACTCAGGACACGAGGGATTCACAATTGCTAAATGTTTATGACATGGTCTTATAAGACAAAAAATGCTGATGTAGTGTACACTGACTTTAACAAGTACATTATTATTATAATCGAAAAGAAGCGCTAAACCACAAGGGCTTTAACAAGTACAACCATGGGGTAATAACACAGAATGCGTGCATAAGGCAGATAGGTATTTAGCTTCGTAACAAATTGAATCCAACGAGTTATATTAAACGGTGAAAGTTGTCCTGAAGGCACTGTGCTCGCCCCGCTTTTTTTTTTCTCATTCTCATTTCCGAGACATTGAGACATGAATCATAGCCCTGTATAATCCTTTGCAGACGTTATTCCTTACGGGTTTAGCGCTTGGTTATGATTATAATAATAATAACGCAGATGATACTAGAAATTCGTAAGAGTGTCATCCACGGCAAACACGGCAAACCTTAAGGCTGATGCAAACTAAGTCTTCCAGAGGGAAACTGACATCAATATGATGTTCAATGAAGACAACTTTCGGATGCTACTATATGAAAAAAAAGGAAATAAAACCGAGACTGGAGAACAAAACAAATTTAAATCTCTGGACAGAAAGGAAGTTTAATGTGAGAGACTTGGGAGTGATAATGTCAGTTCTCACATTCAAAGATCATAATAATATTGCAACCGCAATGAAAATTGCTGGATGGATAACTAGAACTTTCAAACTAAGAAATGCCACGTTAATGTTACCCTTAACTCTTTCCCAGGCCTGGTAAAGGGTTAAGTCACTTGTTCTCCCTAGGCTAGAATATGGCTGTATACTTACGGCTCCCATCAAGGCAGGCGAAATTTCCGAAATGGAGACTGTGCAGAGAAAATTCATTGCTCATATAAATTCAGTCAAGCACTTAAATTACATAGAACGTTTTAAGTCCCTCGAACTGTACTTTGGAAAGTAGGCAAGCAAGATGCATCAGAGTTTACACCTGGAGGATTCTAGAGGGATTGGTTCCAAACCTGCACACTGAAATCACTTCATATGTCAAGTCCACGTCACCTGTAGTCAATGCCCCCGCATCCCGGTCCCAGGCTTGACCTGGTTCCTGGTCTGATATCCACTAGGCTGCTGGTGCTCGCTGCCACCAGCCTGTTAGTGGCACAAGTTTTATCCCAAAGGTTTCATAAAAGAAGAACCAGTGATACACAGCTGAGTGAGTGGGCTAACAAGAGCAGTTACGATAGTAACAGCAGTAATTAAGTGGTAATCAGCCTCTTCAATCCAATTTACCTCTCCTGTAAATTCCATGTGATACATGAATTGTGTGATATACCTGCCGGCGAGCGGGTCTTCGTTGACCACCCGCCGGCAAGTGTCCCTTTTATACCTCGTGTAATACATACCTTGTGTGAGACATACCGTTTATGATGCACATTTTGTGTAATACATGCCAGGTTGCCTTTGGCTGGTGACTAGCTACGGACACGTACAACACGCCTTGAATTTGCTACCTGCGTTCGTAATAAGTTTTGGTTCGACATATATTCCAACCACCATGAGCATATGTATAAAGTATTTACAACTGTGTACAGAGTTAAGGGACAAGTTGGTGGCGCCCTCAGCTCACATATTAAGGGTCCGTGGTTCGATCCCCTGGCACAGCTGGAAACGTTGGATATGTTTTCCCTTCTTGTTGCCCCTGTTAACTTAGCAGTAAGTAGGTACCTGGGTATTAATTAACTGTTGTAAGTCGCAGCCTTAGATAAGGCTGGGTTTTGAAATGAGTCGAGATAGGATAACAACTCTTGGTCTGTAAATTCATGTGTAAATAAATAATTTAGGAGGTAATGAGCATGCTATAGATTTAACACATCCATACAGAAAGACACATCTAGTATGTTTTTAGCCAGGCAGAGAGAGGAGAGGGTCTGGACTGTTTCTAGATACAAGGTACCCTCATTCAGACCGTCACAGACCCCCAGTAGAAATAAGTCATTTTATCTTACTTTTTTGGGGTTATCCCGGGTAATTTAAACACTATAATTATACTTCAGTGTACATGTACCTAAATAAACTTATTTACTATAACCATATCTCTGAAACGTCAGACAGTCCCAGTGCCAGGAAGGGGGCACACTCTTGGCAAGCTAAGATGACACGCAGGAGAGTGCTTTTGTTTCACACCGAATACAATACGGATGCTCCTAAATAGAGCGCTGGATTAGTTTCATCTGCCACATTGCACTCGGTGCATGCCACATAAAACGTTAAATCTTTGCGAGTCATTTAACGCAGAGAATGGTGGAGACTCGATCCTTCGTCTGTTAATGGTGCTACAGATGCATGTCTCTCGCAGCCAGGCAGACAACTGGAATTAGTAACCCAAGTTAGTCCATGAAAGCCAATTAGTGCGGCTTATTTCATTGGGTTTCTCTGATTCTCTTCCCCACGGCGCCATTCACAACAGTCTGCTAACACTCAGATTACTACTTACTGATAGATGAACAGCGGCATCCTAGACCAGTGTGTGGCCTTCGAGCTCTTAAGAAATGTAGTCTCCCAAAAGTCTCAAGTCGATATAGGTAATGGTAGAAATGTGCAACGGTTAGAGGCAAAAACATTTGTGCCCCGTGCCGTGGTAGACAACACTCACCTCGCACATTGAGTGTCCATGGTTCGATCCCCGGCAAGGGTGGAAACATTGGGCGTGTTTCCTACACCTGCTGTCCAAGTTCACCTAGCAAGTAGGTACCTGGGTGTTAGTCGACTGGTGTGGGTGGCATCCTGGGGATACAAGATTTAAGGATCCCAATGGAAATAAGACAGTCCTCGATCACGCAGTGACTTTCTTGGGTTAGCTTGGGTGGCTAACCCGCCAGGGTTAAAAATCCGAACAAAATTTTTTTTCTCTCTCTCTTAGCCTCATAGAATCGTGAAGCCATAAGCGGCAGCTTAATCAGTTTATACATAACTCCAGCCTTAGGGACAACAGGTGAAAAGAAAGATAAAAGTTTCCACTGGTACAGAGATCAAACCAGGACACTATGTGAAAGCCGAAGGAGCCACCACTTAGGGCTAAGTAAATAACACACAAATAACCTGCGCATTGGAGAGAGGAGCTGACGACGTTTCGATCCGGCTTGGACCATTTACAAAGTCACACTCACAAAAAGGAGAGGAGGGAGTATATATTAGCCAGCAGACAGGGACGGGACAAGAGAGGTAGTAGGAAAGAAAGAAGAGAGCTAGTGGTAGAGGTAGAATTCGTCTGCCGAGTCTTTGGTTTTCATAGGGAGTGATTTTCGTGTGCGAGTTTGGTACTAGTCCCTCTAGGATTTTCCAAGTGTATATAATCATGCATCTCTCCCGCCT